CACGTCAGCAGAACATCGAGGTTGGTAACATGGTGCTGATGGTCGACGATAACCTTCCACCAGCCCAGTGGCCAATCGCCAGAGTCATCGCGACTAGACCAGGAGCAGATGGGCTCACCAGAGTAGCCACAGTCAGAACGAGCAAAGCAGAAGTCGGCAGACATCAAGATGGGTCGCCTAATCTCCAGAACATCACAGCAGCCCACTCGGTGTTGACAGACCAATCACCAAGCTCTGTCGGCTTCCNTGTTTGAAACGCAGTCAAAATTCAGTATATCAACGGTTGACCACAGATCGGCCACTTACGAAAATCTTCGGGAAACCTCGGGTCAACGGTCAGGCCTAGTCAATCACCGAATCTCAGAGTCAGTTACAGGCAGTCAGTCGTAGAGAGTCGTAGCAACTGAGTTGAGCGAACAGTATATCGTTTTTCTGAAGCTACTTTCGGTTGTCCGAACAGCGTCAGTACATCACCCGTTCGAGACATTTTGTTTTCTCAGTACATCTCCTATTTAAATTCTCAGTACAGTCTCCTATTATTCAGTATATTGTTCAGAAAATCTCCAGTGTTAAATTCAGAACAGTTTGAATCAATTTAAGTGACAATTAACAGAGTGTAACAAGTGACGCTAAGGTGGTTCGACTCCACCGAATAAATCAGTATATTTTTTATAGACTCAGTGCGTTCGTTTTTCACCGGCATTTCCACTACCCATTTCCCAATCCACCCTAAATTCAGTTTTCCCTCCAAACATGGTTCTTATCAAGAAATCGCCCTTTCGCTTCAATCCTGAGATATCGAGGAAACACTAATTGGCAGCTGAATTGGAGATAATTCTGTTATGAATATCTTTTAATCTAGAGTAGATAGAAAAATTTTTATGAAAGCTTTTTTGTAGATTTCCTTCTGCTCTACAAAAATGATTTATACAAAAATTATTAAATATTTAATATTATTAAAAATTAAAAATTAAAATTATTAAAAATTAAATATTTTTGAAAAACTATTTTTTGTGGAGCACAAAATTTGATTATTCGCTCCGTTTCACCTCTAAATTTTTGAGAGCAGCAAAAATAAAAATAGGTTTCGGTTAGTAAACTTTTTGAAGTTTTAGATGAAAAAAACAAAAAAATAAAAAGTTTGGGGAACGATCCCAAATTACCAATTCAAACTTTCTTTTTGAGTTTTCTATGCCAAAATGCATGGATACATGAAAAATTATATTTTTTTCGAAAAGTTGAGAAACTCTCCGACAAAATTTATTAGCTCAAAATTTTTCTTTATCGTTCGCCTTGGCTCGTAATTCAAATTGAAAGAAAAGTTTTTAGAAGAAAGAAAGAAGCAATCTTCGATATCTTCGCCAATAATTGAGTTACAGACTTCCGGTTGTGCTCATTTTTTTTTTCATTTGGACTATACTTTTTGTTAAAACATAGGCCAAAAGTTTCAAAATTTGAACGGAATTTTTCATGTTAATATTTAGTGGAATTGCCCAGATATAGATTCAAATTCACTTCATGCTGTCTATAATGGATGTCACACAACGCCATTTTGTGCTGTTTTAACCAAATTTGCGGAATTTCGAAAATAAAAAATTGAAAATATAAAAGATTCAGGAGAATGTCCAACGAGTGGGGAACTAAAAATACTTGCTTTGGTTATAAGAATTATTGATTTTTTTTAAATCAACTGTGACGTAATTTGAAAAATTCAAATTCTTCGCCTCTTTTTCGAAAATTTGTTATTATAAGTGGTGAAAAATTCAAAATTTGGACTTCTATCGAATCGAAATCCGATCAATAGAACTCAAGTTATTGGAAAAAAATGGAAAAAAAATCTGAAAAACTTCCAGAGATCGTTTTTCAGCCCCCCAATCGTAGAAAAAATTGACACCAATTTCTACGAGGGTGCGGGTTAGCGGTCAACTCATTTGGCGGGGAATACCTCATATATCTCAAACTCAACAAACCCATTCATGACTCCAAAACAATAATGTTAGATTAATTGAATAGAAATGAAGTGTGAAATCAATGTACATCAATAATATCTTCTCTTAGGGTCTTTAACTAAACTTCAAACTAACATTGTCAACGATTTCGAAGCAATAAAAGAAGAAAAATCTTGATAGAAAATAAGAATGAGCGATCACAAGAAAGAACAGTTTATCAAGAAACAGAAGCTGCTATTGGAGGAGAGAAAATTATCTCCTTTCGAGTTCTTGGAATTGATGGCGACGACCATTGATTTCGAAAACAGTAAGCAGATATTTCATGATTCGAATTTACCAACTTGATTGGACTCAAATTAATTGTGTATACACTGTTAGAAAAAATAACACAATCTCATGAACAGTTGACTATTCTTCAAGGCAGTAACACTGAATCCAACTTCAGGGTGAAGAAATCATGAAATTACAGATTTCACTGAAAATTTAGGGAAATTCCAGAATTTTAAGTACCTTGGAGATGGAAAACTCCCAGTGAATTATGAAAATTCAGTTCCAAAGTTCCCTGAATTTTCACTGGAATCTGAAATTTAATGATTTTTCTTCCCTCAAATCGCATTCAGTGTTGCTGTTCTGAAATTCAGGGATATATTCAACGGGATTTTATGGATTTCTAATGACTTTCAAGGGAAAATAAAACTGAAATCTCTGGTTCTCATTGATTTTTCCATGAAATCCTGAATTTTCAATGACGAAATTACTTGAAATTTCAGTGAAAATTAAATACGATAAAAATTTCCGAGAAATGTAACGGAAAATTCAGACCAAATTTCTTAACAGTGTATGTTATTGACAGAATACAGGATGGCATTGAGAGATTGTGGAGCTGATGTGGATCTGACGGGCGGAGCTGTGGAGGAAGGAAAAGCAGAAAGAGTAGATGATAGCCAGGCAATCGATTCTGAAAGTGATGTAGAAGAGGAAACTGCCAAAAGATGACAAATGATAATCAAGAGAATGATCCCGAAGAATCATCGAGAGATTTTAAGGGTCATATGGAGTTTACAGTGGGAGCTGAGGAAGAAGGAAAAGCAGAAGGTGAGGCTGGTTATTCAATTTCTGATGTTCTGAGTAAACTACTAGATGAAACCGTGCAAGGAGAATGCAGGAATGAAGAAAGAGAGAATGATTCCGGGCCATTGTTAGGGAAGCACGCAAAACGGCCGAAAAGAGAAACAGGAAAGAAAAGCAAAAATAAGGAGTATGAGAAGAAGAAGAAAGATAAGGATGATGATCAGCAGATTGGGAGAAGATCTTCACGTCGAACGACAAAGCCCCAATATCTGAGGGACTATGTTGGTTAATCAGACCAACATTGGTGCTTTCAAGATTGAAAAAAATTGGGAATATGTGATTCAGACAATGAATAATGATTTCTTTTTAAATCCCATTTTTTTCTTGATTGCCTGGATTGTGAGGGGGCGAGGAAGGCGATGAGGGCCTGTAATGACGGATGGAGTGTGATACTAGGCCTGAGGAAAAAAAATGAAGGGATTCATTCGTTGAATTGATGTTTTCCTTAAATTCATAGAGGTGCGATGAGGAGATAGTTGTGTGTGTGTACGGGTGATAGGCCTGAATGATTGCGGCTGGTGGAAATGAAGAAAAAAAACTAAATTTTTTTTCAAATTCATTTTTTTTTAACTCTGGTCGTCTTTGGTCTGTAAAGTAGAATTCTTCATCAAATGCACTATCATTTTCTTCTCAATTGTTTCCTTACACGTGTTTTCTTAATATTCAGGGAATTAAGTTTCTTATTTCTGTGGAAAATAATTTGGGGTGTGAGGAGGAGAAGGGTAAGTAGGTGAGTCGCTGGAGTGGGCTCTGAGGGTTCGTAAACAATACAACGAATAAGGTGATTTGTTGTTCTTATATGAAAATTATTGGTGGGTGTAAAAAAGAAGAGCGTGGATAGATGAGTGAGGTAAGGTGGGATATCAAGCCTAATAAAATAAAATGAAAATGAGTGGAAAAAGTCATTTATTCAAAGAAGAGTGAGGCAAACTGGAATAGCGTAGTAACATGGAGCACCACAAAAAACGTCTATTATTTAGGAGAATTCCTGAAACTTTTTTTTCTAGAAAATATTGACTTGACTTTTTTAAAGGAATATTTTTTATTGAATATGTCAATAGAAATGGCAAAAAACTAATAGAAAATTCAATGGAAATCCAATTGAATTTTCTAGCGAATCCGCTAGAATTTCCTCGAATTTTTCGATTAATTCGAAAATAATTTGGATTTTTCTTATCTGCTGAAGAAAACAAGAGCTACCTATCTGCACATGGATAGCTAAAGTGAAAAGAAGATGAAAAAAAAATTTTTATTTTCGAATTTATTTATTCGAAAATAATCCGGATTTTTCTTCGATCTGTTAAGTGCTAAAAATAAGAAATTCTTGGAAATTAACTTTCTTTTTATAATAACAATGATTTTTGCAAGTGTGGGGGGCCCTCTGTTTTTTTTTCGTCCCTGAACATTTAAATCCAGTTGAATTACTCGGTGCCCACATGGTACTACTTTTTTATCACACCAGGCGTCCTACCAGTCAATTTCCACGCACTGTATCAAATTTCGGAGATTTTGGCCGTCGGAGATTTTGACCGTCGGAGATTTTGTCACCCACCCGAAAAATTGGACACTGAATTTGGCATTAGAAATTTGAAAGGAGGTTTGAAAATCGGAAATTCAATAGTTTCTTTCAAGGATGATGCAATGATTTCGCAAGATAAACAGTATAAATTAACACCTGGTCTGATGTAATTGATTTTCATGAAATCTCCAGAACCAGAGCATATCACTGAAATTGATAAAAAGTTTATGTTGAAATTATTAAACGAACGAGTGCTCATCGATCTCGCTACCAAGCTGACCAACCCATGAAGAAAAAAAAAATCAAAAATTTACTAATATTATAGCACCACTGCTTCAATCATCATCGATTCAAAAAACTGGTACAGCTCTGCTACCGCAATACATGATCGCTCCAAGGACTAAAAACCAAAAAATGGATTATGTTTACTGGGATGATCCTAATGAATTAGTAGATAGACTTCGTTTACTCATGGCATCTCAGGTAACTGGCAATACGAGTCACACCAATGAAATTTTCTCCATCATCGGAGAGTTATGTAAGGCTGGAATTGTATCTTAGATTCTGTTCAAGTAAGATTTCATCAGTTCAATCATGAGCGTTGATGTATTCGGTTGACAGTGGGCTTACGGTCGCACTACTACCCCAGGGAGAC